ATCTGAAAACTTTGAATCCATAGTGTCCACTCAGTAAAATACAGAACAGTACTTTTGTATAATCTTCCTTGAACTGGCCCCAAATTATCCTTAACTCTCCCAGGATACTCCCAAGTGCTCTATGTTCCAGCCACACAGAACTACTGATACATCTCTGTACCTGTCCCAGATTGCTCAGCTGATCTTCCCAACTTGAGTGTAATTACCCTACCTTCCATTTTTCCATTCTTAGCCTTTAGTACCAGGTGAAATACTGGCTTGTAGTAAAATGCATGACGTTTCTAATATCTACTCTAAATATTAGTCCCTCTAGAGTTGGAGACCATGACTGAAGGCCTATGGATTATCAGACAGTATATAAAGTTTCAACCTGTAGTTAACCATCATCTTTGTCACTGCTATTAGGTGGAAAAGCAGAGGCTTCCAAGGTATTGATGGTGGCATCTACCTAATGATGATATTATCAGGAGAGAGAATTGAATGGTGTGAATTAGTCTAGTTCTCAGAGGTGCAGTGTTCTCCCTAAGCAGAGTTGGAAAATCACAGAAAGAATATCAGTGATGCATCGCAAAAGGACAATCAGATCGACTCAACTACTTATACTGATGCTCAAAGGAGAAGGAAAAAATTCGAGGAATCCCAGTTCTTTCTGATCGTGCTACCAAGTCAGTTTGAATAGTAATAGTAGACTCATTTATCCTGCGAGTACTTTGAATCTTTTATATCAGTGGGCTTTATTATTAGGAACTTTCTAAACAACATGAAAAGGGCAAGATTTTGGAATTTATGTCTTCCCATGGGGAAGGTGTAGCGTAGAATGTTGAAGCCACGTAGCTTGGATTTGAATGCTGGCTGTGGCATAGGCTTGTTTTGTTCTGTCATGCAAGTTACTAAACTCAGTTTCAACATTGCTTACAATAGATTATCTCTTCATTGGACTGCTATGAAATTTAAATGAGATGTCTGTAAAGCTCATTAGCATGGTGTCGGCTATATGGTAAGTCCTGAATAAATGTTAGCCTTAGTTATAATGATAACAGTGCAGAACCTGGGGCTGAAATGAGACAGGAACTGTAGGGGTGGGCATGGGGTGTGTCAGTGCTTGTTCCTGGCTGAGTCATCATTGCAGTCTTTGGACTCAGCTGTTCTTCTCTTCCCTTAGTGGAAGGAACGGCAGATTGCTCTGCCTTCTCATCTCACCTAAAGAGGGGACTGATCTCCGCTCAGCTTATCCACTAGGTGCTTACTGATTACCCAGTATGAGCTCAGCACTTTGCTTGCTCTGAAAGTAAACAGCCCCTTCTCTGGGGACTTTGTGTTCTAGTGAGGGAGACAAACACATAAAAAACAGATCATTTCACTGTGATCTGGTAAGAGCTACTATAAAAGCACATTTATTTATGATAAAAGCTCAACTGTGAAAATTCAGAATTGAATTTTAAAAAATTAAAAAAATTTTTTAGACTGTGTACACAGTGGAGCATTGTCAATTTGAACAACCTCAATCCTGAATTGTTAACATTAGAGTCACCAAGTGGTTGTACTGATCATCAGGATGCTTTATGGGAACTACAGAGAGGAAAGCAGTTTTGGTGCTCTGGATAACAGGCCGAGATCACTTGACAAACTTTTGCCAACCTTGTGTACGAAGTCAGGAAGTGGAGATAAGCACAGGTGTTGTTTAAGTTATGATGTAGGTTTGGAAATTTGGGACCCTCTAGAAGACATCACTTCCCTTTAGTGTATGAGACAAGAATAAATAACCACGTTTAGCATAAAATAAAAAGACCAAATGATCCTGTTCACTAAGCTAGTGTCTAAGTCACTGAATCTAGTTAGGGGAGATGAAGACTAAGCTGTAAACACGATGGGAGCTATTTATTGCAACAAACACTTCCAGCTTTGTTGTCGTATATTAGATCAAGGGCTAGGAATGGATTTTGATTGAAGTGCTGGCTCATCCACTTGCTAGATATGCAAATTAAGTAGGCAGCACCTGCTCTGCTCCTTTGTATTCTTACCTGTAACATGGGAATGATAGTAGCATTCATAGCATGCTGTAGGAATTAGGATCTCTACTAGGGCAGGATTGTTGTTCAGTACTATAGTTCTCTCTCTTGAAACAATATAAATATTGGAGAGGAACAGCTGTCTCCAAATTGTTTGAATGTTGTAATTCAGTCTGGACATGTGGACATTACATAGCCCACAAAGCAAGGTTCCGAAGTTAACAACAACAACAATAAAATAAGTATATGCCAACTCTCCACAAAGCATTTATTTAAAAAACAATCAAGGTTATATGTAGTCAGTGTTCTAAATCCTGCTGCCTTGCTTGTGTGTGGGTGGGGAAGGGAGGTGGTGGGACAATTACACCAGAATTCCTCACTGGTAGGAGAAGCAATGTAGAAACCTGTTAACTTGTTAACTGACACCCCTGTCCAGTTCTGATGGGCATGTAGGAACTATTCCTGCTTCAAGACTCATTGGCCTTGAGGTGTTTCTATGTATTCTCTTCTAATAGTGGTCTTTCGACATTTCCAAAGATGTTGGCATAAAATCAAATTGACAGCTGACCCATTCTGACCTTCTAGCATATTGAATACTGTGAAAATGCATGATGTGTTTTTTCTTCATCACTTTCTCTGCTCTCTTTGGTGTGAGAACCACACAGGTCTTTGGGTGATGAACCTCACATAAAAAAAAAAAAAATCACCATTCCTTAGTGATCTGGGCTACAGATGCTGGGAACAGATATTTTGGAGTATTCATGAAGATCACAAAGGACTTGAAATTGCTTAGAAGGTTTATGAATCCAAGGCACAGTAACTATTTGTTGTGCTAAATTTTACTGCCAGTTGTTTCGTGTGTTTACATAGCTTTTCTAAAATAGCTAAGCCAAGTCTTCATTAGCTTAGATAGTGGGTTTACTTGACATTCATCAGGCCAGAATGCTGGACTGGAACTTGGGAGCCAGCCTTGGAGCCTATTCTCAGATCTTCCATTGACTTCAAGTTACTTCAGGTTTTTTACTTGCTCTTTGTATTTTTAGCCACGTGTAAAATGAGAATTTTATTATTATTACCCCAGGTTTAATCAGCTTTCTTGCGGGGAATAAAAGAGATGTAGCTTAGTCTGAGCACCAAATGGGCTCACCAAAACTGAACCCCAGAATCAGATAGACTGAAACACCCAGTCCCACACCTGATGGACCTAGACAAGCTTGTGTTCCTATGGGCAGGGTGGCTCCCAAAGAGGAAAGAGAGAGGGGTGGGGCCTGGACATCAGCATTTTAAGAAAGCTTCTGTACTCAAAGTGTACATCCACGTTAGGGCCTAGCCCTTTAGGCATATCACATATTTTGCAATGCCTCTGTGCCTTTGCACATGCTTAGATTGAGCATCCTTGCCTCCTTCACTGGGGAAAAAAATCCTACTGATCCCCCAACCTCCAATTTCGGTATGTCCTCCTCTGTGAAATCTTCCCCTTCCTCTTCACTTCCCACAAGCAGAGTTGCCCAAAAGCTCTCCTACATGCAACTACTCTGCCATAGACTTAGCTATTTCATGAACCTTATTCTGTGTTGAAATTATTTGGCAAGTAGACTGTGAACATTTTTTTAAAAGCCCACACACACACACATTTTTGTCAATGTGAAAAAGAAAAAAGAAAAGGTCTGAAAGTATATCCATCAAATTATTAAGGGACCTTAACTCTGAGGAGAGGGGTTTGGTCAGAGGAGGATTTTTTGTTTTTAATAAATAAATCAATACATTTATTTATTTTTGGCTGTGTTGGATCTTCATTGCTGCCCGCGGGCTTTCTTTTGTTTAGGGCGCAGTGCGCGGGCTTCTCATTGCAGTGGCTTCTCTTGTTGCAGAGCACGGGCTCTAGGGCTTAGGGCTTAGTTGCTCCACGGCACATGGGTTCTTCCTGGACCAGGGCTCGAACCCGTGTCTCCAGCATTGGCAGGTGGATTCTTAACCATTGCGCCACCAGGGAAGCCCAGGAAGATGTTTATATTTTGTTGATATGTCCTCAGTTTACCTCCACATTGCTTTAATTTTTAAATGATACATATTATGATTGTAACATAAAAATGATAATCTAAAAGAGGAAGAGTGTTGCATTATTATTATTTTTTTTGGCTGTATATTGCCTCCTGAGATGATTTTTACCTATGATTTCAGTCATCATCCCAATTTTGGGCCATGATCTGCCCTCTCATGTCCCTCCCTCTCCCCCTACTCTTTCCAATACTCTCCTTTCCTAAATCCCCATAGATCAGAGGTATGATGAGATGATGGGGAAGGGACAATCCTCAGTCTCAGGCTTGTCTTGGTGCCATAAATAGGAATAGGTCTTTTCCAAACACCTCTCTATTGAGCTGTTATAAATCTGGATGGATAACAGGAAGACAGAGACTACTTGTTTTTCTGCTCTAACCCTGTGTATCTTTTCTTATGCAGGTAAACTACGGAATTGAAGTTTTGAAGGATGGGTAAAGACTTTCGTTATTATTTCCAGCATCCCTGGTCTCGGTTGATTGTGGCTTACTTGGTGATCTTCTTTAACTTCTTAATATTTGCGGAGGACCCAGTTTCTCATAGCCAAACAGAAGCCAACGTTATTGTTGTTGGAAACTGTTTTTCATTTGTAACAAATAAATACCCTAGAGAAGTTGGCTGGAGGCTTTTGAAGGTGCTTCTATGGCTACTTGCCATTCTCATAGGACTAATAGCTGGCAAATTTCTGTTCCATCAGCGTTTGTTTGGTAAGTACCCATGAAATGTAATGTAGATAATTATTTAATTCTATACTCCAAGATAGAGCTTTGTTATTTCTAAATGCCAGTTTAGAATGCATTTCAGTTTGCCTTCCAGCAAATGTGCTGTTGTGGCTCTGGTTCTTCAACTGTTCTGTGTTTAATGTACTTTTCTATGGCCTTAGGAATATTAGCATGAAGTAAAATTAGTTCTAAACTTAATTTTAAAAAATGGTGTTACATCTAAAATGATTGTGTGTGTAATCTTATTTAAAGAAGACATGTAAATAGCTCTTTTTCCATAAGTAGCACTTAAGTATGATATCATAAAGGGTTTGTAAATCATAAAGAGAATGCTTCCATATCACATCACATTCTCATTAAAGTAAGTTAACCATTGCCCATATATTTACACATTTTGTTCATTCAGGGAATTAGAACAGGAACTCTTAACTTTTTCCCCTCATTTCTTTCTTTCCTTTTTTATTGTTTTTGAACATTGGCTTTAGAATGTTTATTTTGAGCCTGATCAACCACAGAACAGTATTATAGTAAGGAATCTCTTTGTAGTAAGCAACAGAAAAAGAGACTAAATTTGTTTAAGTTTAAAAGGTAGCTTACTATACGGGTATTGGGATATTTCACAGAGACCAAGAGTAGAATTTGTTTTGATAATTGGGATAATGGCAACAGGGGCTTGAATTCTACCAGGATCTTTTTTGTCTCGACTTCTCTCTCATATCTGCTTTATTCTCCTTTCACACTGAAGATCAGTTTACATCCGCTTAGAGAGTCTGGCTTGACTCTTGGTCCCAAGTTTAAACTCTTAGATTTAAACGAAGTTGACCCAGGTTGGGTGTGGTTCCCACCTCTGGCCCAATCGATTTTGGCCAGGAGGTGGGTGCAATTTATTCAACAAATTCACTGGTTACTTATTATTCACTGGTTATTATTATTATTATTATTATTATTCACAGGCACTATTCTAGACATCGAATCAAAAAAGCAGGGTATCTGCCCTCATAAACACATCCTACAGGAGGGAGAAAGGTTCTAAACAAATAAATGTATAAAATGCAAAGAGGTGATAAATGCTATGGGGAAAAAGAAAGTTTTAAATGCTACTGGGTCAATCAGGGAGAGAACTTAGCAATGAAACTTTGAATTTAGCAATTATAAGATCATAGGTGGCCTAGTGTGGGTATTTTCAGTCTAGAAGTTTGGTTAGAAACAGATGGCAATGGTTTAGGGAATGAACAACAAATATATATGCATACATACACATAATATATATATATTCTTCTCAATCTCTACTCCTCAAACTGTTGCCATCTGTTTCTATTGCATAAACATATAAAATGTACATATTTTATATTATAAAATATGTAGTTTCAAGAAATTTGATGAGGAAGTGGAAGAAGGAAATGGGAAGTACCTATACATGGAAAAAAGGCTAAGGGGAGATTTTGTTTTTCTTGTTATTTTTTATTTTTATTTTTTGCGGTATGTGGGCCTCTCACTGCTGTGGCCTCTCCCATTGTGGAGCACAGACTCCGGACGCACAGGCTCAGCGGCCATGGCTCATGGGCCCAGCCGCTCTGCGGCATGTGGGATCTTCCTGGACCAGGGCACGAACTCGTGTCCCCTGCATCAGCAGGCGGACTCTCAACCACTGTGTCACCAGGGAAGCCCTTCTTGTTATTTTTGATGATGGTGATTTTATTTGAGGAGTGAGATTAATTGATTTGCTTGTCATGGGGGAAGAAGCTAGACTGAAGTGCAGGTAAAGATATAGAAGGAAGACAGCATCTCTGAAGGTTGCTTTGGTCTGTGACTTAGGACACAGGCCACAAACAGTGGCCTTAGAGAGGACAGGAGGAGAGACCCCAGTTCCTCAGAAATAGTCATGAGTGAGATCAAGGTTGGTACTCTAGTAGGTACATTTGAGTTGGAGGAGTAGAGAGGTGAGTGTGCTCCCACCTGGTGATTTCTATTTCACTACGAGGAAGGAAGAGCTAAAGATAAAGATGGAGGGATTGATGAGCAAGGGGCTTAAGAAAGTGGTCCAACTTCGGAAGAGCTACTCTAG